ACTTTTTCTCCTTGATTAATTGTTGCCAAATGTATTGTACTGTTATTTCTTTCATTGCCAATATTAACACCTCCACTACCACTACTACTGCTGCTGCTACTACTACTGCTGTTGCTGCTATTACTACTACTACTACTACTGCTGCTGCTACTGCTACAACTACCACTACTATTTACTGTATTGATAACAACATTGATGAACCATTCAAAACAACGATTATAATTATAACAAAATATAATTATAATAATAATATGAATAATAACAATAATAATATGAAAAATAATAATAATATAAATAATAATATAAATAATATTATGAATAATTATACGAACTGGTAAGTTACTAGTTCTTTATCCCATCTGTAATCCTTAACGCTGAATCCAATGGGAGCGTTTGGATCGGATGATTTGTTGGGTTTTCCGTCCTTAGTTCCGCATCTGGCATAATATAATTATAGATAATTATGAATAATAATAATAATTAATATATATAATTATTATTTTTATTAATTATCATTATTATTATTAATAATTATTATTATTAATCGTAAATTATTTGCAGTTTAACCGGGATTTTTTCATGAGTTCAACCAGTCTTGGATCTCTGGGATCGCCAGTTTGTGGCAAGCCAGCCATCTTTTGGAGCCTCTTGATGCTTTTTTTCGTCTCCTCCGGATCCCTCATTGCCTGAGTCTCCAGATTTGCTTGTGATAAGTAGCCGTATTTCGTTAGATAATCCTGGATGTGATTGTGTGTGTGTGTCTGTGTGTGTCTGTGTTTGTGTGTTTATGTGTGTGAGTGTATGTATAATTATGATTAATTTCACGTGTTTTTTAGGTTCTTGTATTGTTTGGCTGACGTTTCGCTTGACTGTTGCTTAGTTTAGTGGTTAGGCCGTTAAATAATAATAGATTAGGAGTTAATCAGTATTCATTTCAAAGTGTGTGTGCGTGTGTATGTGTGTGTGTGTGTGTGTGTGTGTGTGTGTGTGTGTGTGTGTGTGTGTGTGTGTGTGTGTGTGTGTGTGTGTGTGTGTGTGTAGAGTAAAATTATGTATGCACTACACTACAGCTGCATTTTTATGAGACCTCACAGTGCTTATTCATTGACGAAGCCGATAAATGGATGTGTGTTTATGTGTGTTTGTTTGTATGTATGTATGGTGCGTGTGTGTGTGTGTGTGTGTGTGTATGTGTGTGTGTGTGTGTGTATGTGTGTGTGTGTGTGTGTGTGTGTGTGAGTGAGTGTGGGTATTTGTGTATGAGTTGTGTATTATAAATCTATTAATTATTTGTACTGTTATTTAAGGCCAAACAAACAATGATCGTCAGCCAGGTTAAACGTACTACTCGTCATACTCTAACATTCATAAGACTATCCCTTTAATTTTTTCCATCTCTCACTCTCTCTTCCGTCTCTCTCTATCTATCTATCTCTTTTTATTCATCTTTGTTTTTTTTACTACTACTTTCTCTCTCTCTCTCTCTCTTTCTTTCTCTTCCTCTCTCTCTCTCACTCTCTCACTCTCTCTCTCTCTCTCTTTCTCTTAACAACACTGAATCACTATCCAGATTTATTCAACCCTGCGTGAATGTAAGTGTACAGTATGTGCGTGTGTGTTTATGTGCGTGTGTATGCGTGTGTGGTGTGTGTAATACTGTGATTAATATCTGCTGCAAGTCATTGGATGTATTTCGATTCATTCAATAGAAATTTTTTTTTATTTTCAGTAGTTTCGGGTTTTTCTTAAAAAAACAACAACAAAAACAACAACAACATCCACTACAACAACAGCATCAACAACAACATCAACAACAAAAACAACATCAACAACAACAATCTCTACCGTTACTGCAGCCGGAATGGGGACGGCCCGCTTGTGGTGGTGCCTCCTATGGTGGTGGAGTTGCAGCTGCGGATCGCTCTGGTTTTGAGGGAGGTGGTGGGAGTGGTTGGCCCGACTCTGGTTTTGAGTGGGGTGGTGGTTGTACCTGCGGGAGGGGTGCGGCTGTTCCTGTGGGGTTACACCAGCGTAGGTGCTAGCGTCCTCGCGGAAAAAACTCAAGAGATTCAAAAATGAAATGAGTAGTACCGGAAGATAATACATAATTAATTGTAATAATATTATAACTAATTTATTATATTAATTAGTTAATTAATTATACTTTTTAATGATTAATTAATTATTCAATTAGCGAATAATAGTTAACAAAATCGATAAAATTCGGTCTTATTTAAAAGTTTTACTCTGTTACAATATGTTATCAATTGTTATAATTTTGGATGCTATTGTTGTTAATTATTATTTATTATTATTATTATTGTTATTTATTATTCTTATAACTGATTTTCTTTTACTTTTCTTGTTGACCTTACGACCATATAATAACGTTTGGTCTGTCAAAGTCTGTCCTATATATACCTGCGGATGTTGGTTTGTGTGTATGTATGTATGTATGTATATATGTATGTATGTATGTATGTATGTATGTATGTATGTATGTATGTATGTATGTATGTATGTATGTATGTATGTATGTATGTATGTATGTATATATGTATGTATGTATGTAGTATACATGTATGTATGTATGTATGTATGTTTGTCGTCTTTTCAACCCACTCAAACTTCAAAAAAGGAGATTTTCCGCTTATTAATTAAAGTAAAATTATTATTATTAATCGGTTTATTGAGAAGTCTTTTCTATTTATTATTATTATTTAAAATTTTAACGTATTTTTGATGATGACAATGATGATGACGATGATGATGGCAATATAAGGATATAACACCTATGATTCACAATAGGGATGATTCAGAGAGATGACGACGACGACGACGTTGATGATGATGAAGATGATGATAAAAAAGATGAAGATGCTACTGCTACAGCTTCTCCAGCTACAACTACTGATGATGATGATCAATAAAATGATGATTCACATAAATGACTAAGATTATAATTAGAGTGATAATGATGCTAGTTGTGATAATATACCGATGATGACGACGATGATGGCGACGACGATGATGATGATGACAAAGACGACGTCGATGATTATGATGATGATGATGGTGATGATGATGGTGATGATGATAAAGATCGTGTCTGTGATAGCGACATGAAGATTCTATTTTAACGGAACTAATGATTAACGCTTCTTTCATTCTCTTACTTCTTCACTCACTCATTCATTAATTCATTCATTCATCATTCATTCACCACCACCATCATCATCAGCGCCAGCACGACTTTTCGGGGTTGATGTTGACTGCCTAAGAAGGAAATAGATGCACAACACCACAGAGCATGTCTTCCAATTAGCTCTGCCGATTATTTAGAAATCCATTATACTTCCATTAAAACAATTACACTTTGAAATAATAATAATAATAATTTCAATAATAATAACAATAATTATTATTATTATAATTACATTGTAATAATAATAGCATTAGTAGCAGCAGTAGTAATAGAATTACTCTTTACAGTGCGAGAGAGAGTTAAGTTAATCGAAATAGAAAATTCAAAAATAAAATCTTACCGAAAAATTTTTGTAAGAGGGGTAAGGTTTAGCCCTCTAGTCTTGGCCCCCTTCTACCTACAAACTAAGTCTTGCATTTGTGGTGAAATAATCATACTAATAGCAACAATAATAATTATTTTTATTATAACTATAATATTAATAATGAAACGTTCGGTTAATCGTTAGTTTAACTTCTTGTACTTTCCACGTGATGAATTGTAACAATTGCACTGGCCTTTGATGATGAAACGACCACTAATTAAGACATACATGTTATAATTACTTTTATTATTAATATAATTATTCCTGCTAGTATAATTATTAATTTAATTATTGTAATTATTATTATTTCTTATTATTATGATGACACTTTTTCTTTTTGTTTGTCTTTAAAGGTAGTAATTGATGTAGTAATTATTATTCATCTGAAGGGTTCGTTTCAAGTAACTCTTATTGAAATGTGGAAAAAAAATTTTTTTTAGAGGAACGACAGACCCCTTACTTCTCCCTTTCTCTTCTTGGTACATCCCTGATTGCCATAATTATTTATTCATAATCATTATTTATTAATTATTATTATTTATAATTATTATTGTATTATTTTGTTGCTGTGTAGTCGAGGCTGGCCCGTCAAAACCCTATCGAGCAGGTTGTGATGACGACCGTTGAATGACAAAAACAATTCATCTCAACTCTGATAGATGAGGTCTAACAAGCCGCCACTTTATTTTTTTATTATTATAATTATTATATTATTAAATTATAGTTTAATAATTATATTATCAAGAAGTTACAGGTGAACGTTTAGCATCGCTACAGCTTCTTCGCATCAGTTCTCTTAAAGATAAAAGACAGCACCAGCAGATGTAATACTCGAAAAATAATATCATAATAATTTAAATTTATAATCAATAAATTATCTGATAACTATAATAAATTATAATTTTTAAAGAATATAATATATATGCGATGTTTTAATAATCATTCTGCCTGACAAACCATTCCAAAAAGTATCTACCGGCAAATTTATACCAGAGATACATCTAACGTACCGTCGAACGCATCTCATCGGCCACCATTATGGCCAATAGAATTTCCCGGAATGAAATTTAAATTTATTTGTATTTCATCCCCCGGCGGACATTTGGCGCCATTAACGGGCAGAAGTTATTCGATTTCTCACGGGACATCATGTTTCGACGCGTTATTTAGGTTACGGTTTTGTAATTGGTGTGTGCATATTCGCATGATACAAAACTGCAGATTTAAAAAGCACCATGCGAATATTTACGAATGGAGAAGGACGCAGAACTTTTCACCCCCCCCCCCCCCCCCTCTCTCTCTTTCTCTCTCTCTCACACACACACACACACACATTTTCACCTTGCTCTTCCATTCCTTTTCAATATTTTCATTGATTCGTAATTACTTTTCAAAATTATTCAATCTTCCTGTTTTAGAGTGTGGACGCGCACTTAGTGAAAACTGAAGAGCAATCAATCTACCTACCTCTGATTTCCCTGTTGGGGCAATGAAAGCAGCCAGGTAGCCAAGTTTAATTGCTTCCTTTCAATATGATTGTCACTTTTCAATGTTACTTAGATTGGAGATATATAACTGCATCCATTCGAACTAATAGCTCACGGATCGGCCACAATTTTTACGTTATTATTGCAAACATTTAAACGAGTTAACAGTTATAAAAAAAAGTAGTCTACAGCATCTAGGAACACTTTTGAAGAATTTTGAAAATAATTTGCTTAAAAATTGTAACAATTAAACTTGACTATGCAACAAATTTTGAAATCAGATAAAAAAATAAAACTTTTTTAAAATCTGAAACATTATTTTAAACATAATTGAAAAAAAATGACAGAAAACAAAATAATTTAGTTGGGAAACAACTATGAGAATCATTGACGGATGAATCCTCAGAAATTCCGCCCCCTCCACCACCCCCGGATGGCTTCTTCGGGTTGGGTTCGGGTTTATTATCCGTATCCGGTGAAGAAGATTTGTTAGTGGGAGCAGCATCCGATTTGCAACCGAGCCAATGTTTCCCGATGTTCTTAGGGTACCCTGCTACAACACTCAAATTGCTCTTATCCAACTTCCAGAACTGCTTTCCTTTGAAGAAGAAAACATCACCTAAGAAACAGGGGTGGTGGAAATAGGTTTATAGTTACGAATCACTGCATCATGTGAGGTTTCAGAAATGTCTTAGTGACCATTTTTGTCAGAGTAAGCGGCGTCGATGGGGACTTGAATGCCCTCCCAAACTTTTATGTTCTTCGGATAACCCTCGTCCACTATGAATATCGAGTAATTTTTCATGTCAGAGAGTCTCCAATACTGATTGCCTGGCGGGTGTAGGTTTTAAAATGTTGAAATTCATTTTCTGGTTATGTCAAACGTCACGTAGCTTGCTTACTTATGGAAAAATAGTTGGGGCCGATTAAAAGATCTTGTCGATAAGTACACAAAATTCATATAAAAAAAAACTTCCAAAACCACTAATAAACTCTAATAATAAAGCAGAAGGAGCGTTCACCGCAGCACACAGCAACAGACACACAACCGAAACTTTACAAATCCACACAAAATTCAAGATCAACCAAGTTGGAAAGTCAATTTTCAAGTACAAACCGGAAAATAAGAAGACAAATTTCAAAGAGTGTAGGCGAAAGGCTGCGTCGATTTTGTTGGCCTTGACCCCTGCATCTACCAGCTGGAAACTTGTCTCCATTGGGTGGGGTGATATCTCGTAGAGATGATAGTAGTGGTCGCCTGGGGAGAAAAGTTATTTTGAATCTAAGAAAAGATTAAAAGGTTGGAATAGCTGAGGGGTTTTAGATGTGCGTGAAGATAATTTTAGTTAGAAAGGTGGCTATGTAACCTTATTTCGTCCTTCAGCCATTCCCAACAAGTTGAATTTCAAAATGCGACAGACAACGAAAATTTTTAGCTATTCTACCGTTCTTATTTCTAGTCTCAAAAATTAATTCAAAAGTATGAGGGAGAGAAAGAGAGAGAGAGAGAGAAAAAAAGAGATACGAAATATAAAACTTTTAATTTTTAAAAATTGCGTAAAATAAAAGCAAATGAATGAACATGAACATGACCTATGAAGACAAAAAAGTGGCTGGCAGACGAATCGAAAATGATATTCTCAGTTATGGCGTCGAAGTACGTTTCTTCTGGTTTGAATCTTACAAACAGTTTGAATATTCTCCTTGGCGGACCCTCCAGTATGCCATCTCGGTCGAACCTCCAAAACCACTTGGAAGTCAATCAATCAATCAATCAACCAATCAATCAACCAATCAATCAATCAACCAATCAATCAACCAATCAATCAATCAATCAATCAATCAATCAATCAATCAATCAATCAATCAATCAATCAATCAATCAATCAATCAATCAATCAATCAATCAATCAATCAATCAATCAATCAATCAATCAATCAATCAATCAATCATTCAATCAACCAATCAATCAATCAACCAATCAATCAACCAATTAATCAATCAACCAATCCATCAATCAACCAAACATTCACTTTTTCTAAAATTTTCTAAAAAAAAAACCTCCATACCCGGCAATCCATTTGCTATCAGAACCAGCACTTACTTTCCCCTTGAAGACGTAAGTCTTATTGTACATAAAGGTAACAGCGTCAATATCCGTGTCACAAGGGTTCGGCGGATCGGCAGTGGAATGTTCTGGGACCGAGCTGGTACTAACCTCAAAGTCCGGATCGTTGGTCGTGTAGGGGGGCGGCAAGTCACTAATCTTCAAAGCGTCTGCTCTTTTCGAAGGGCCTTTTCAGTTCATGTGTGTGTTTGTTTAATTAGGCCGTTTTTGCTTCGCTTTTAATTTGTTTTATTTCGTTTCAAACACACACCCCAAACACACACACACACAAACACACACATAGACACAGAAACACATACACACACACATATAGACACACACACACACGTATTCACGTATTAATAAAAAACATCCAACGCGTGATCTGACCGTATATAGACTGGATACTGTTGATGTCATCTTCAGAGAGATACGGATCCTTACCGTGCCTATCTCGGATACTGCGGTAGTACATCATATCTGCCGGATTCGATCCATGTCCGACTCCCAACGAATGCCCGAACTCGTGCAAACTCGTATGGAAGAAAGCGCCCTCTACGGAATTTTAGGGGCTTTAATTGGCCTAGGTTCGTTTATTCTTAAATTTTTCGAATTATTGAAACAAGTTAAAGCAGTTAAATTTAAAATTAATGGAATAATATTATATCGGCAAGAAACCTTTGAGCGGGCATACATCAAGGACATCTGTGAAGTAGTGCACATCTCCACTGTTCTCGAAGACGCCAGGAACCATGGCGTGGGCCAGAGTTGACTCTGTTCAAATGTTGCTCTCTATTGTATGGAAACTTTCTTTTCATATCGCAATAAGCGAACTCGCATACGCACACACACACACGCACGCACACACAAAGCATACTTGGAAATTGAGACTTGCAGAATGAGCAATAGGTGCCCATATCGTTGTTTGACTCAATGGCAATGTCAGTATTCTCCCTCTTGTCAGCTTCGTAGAAGTTGATGTCACCAGCCCGAGACCACAGATCGAAAGATTTCACGATCATGTCGTGCTGCTTGCTTTTATCCACGTATTTGTTCATGTAACTGTCCACACTGCGTTCGATGTAGCGAAGTTCTCGTGCAAATAATTTGGTTTGTTTTCGTCTTGTGGGTGTATTTTTGTGTCCTGATTGTTAATAAATTGGCGGTTGATGGAATTATTTGGACATCTGCGCAGTTTGGCTAGTGCAATAATAATTATCGAAGCGTAATGTGTTACAGAGATGTGTTACAACACAACGTCCTGACACGTCACTCTAATTCTAGCTGTACGATCAATCTCAGATATGATAGAAGCACTCCTCGAAAAAATGGAAGCAGGCTATAAACTTCGGAAAAATTGTCTCAAATTTAGGAAACAATTTATTCTCTTACTAAAATGTGACATCAGATTTTTTCCACAGAGCTCCGAGAAAGCTGTAATTAGATGGACCAGGGTTTGGAATCGAAAAATCTGGAAAACTGCACCTAAAGTCCGTATGAAGAAAATGTAGATGTTTATAAATATAATACATACCAAGTATAAGCAAGAAAAATTCAAACGAAGCTAGAAAAGTTTGAAGTGTAAAAAGAAATTCAGAAAGGAAACCTCGGCTGGCGGATCTCATCCTGTAGTTCCGGGTCATACGGATCTCCGTTCTGCTCAAGACCTGCCATCTTTTGAAACTTTTTAATGGCATTCGTAAGTAGGTCTTCATTCAGCAATTCAGGAATTTCATCAATGGCGTTTGTGATGTAGCCGTAGTTCTTTAAATATTCCTACATAAAAACATTTCATTCTTTTTAGCGGATGGCGGATGACAAGTTTTAATTTATTCGCAAATTTTCACACTGCTTAGCTATATTACTTAATACTTAAAGCTGCATATATGTCTCTCTCTCTCTCTCTCTCTCTCTCTCTCTCTCTCTCTCTCTCTCTCGTACCAGTGTTCATTATTTATAATATATTAATCTAAAAAAGTGAAATTTCGGCCAGCAGTAAAATTATTCCAACAAAGGCTTTTTAACTCACGATAAGTAGGGTGAAATTTTGTGAGCGCTCTTTGAAATTGATTGATACTGGCTTGCCGCATGAGACTGCCAGGAAGTAAGCGGCCATTAAGAAGAGAACAGCGTATGGCATGGCTGAATGGCAGTTGCCTGTTTTGAATCTCTGGAGTTGTTTGCTGTTTGTTTATATTGTCATGGATACAATAGAAATATAATTAGATTTTGTGATTTTTCTCTCAAATTTTTGTAAAACTTATCTGAACGAGTGAATGAATGACTGGCTATAAAATTGTGGTTGGACAGACGATGTATGTGGATTAAATTGTTTAGTTGTGTTTCTATTCGTTCCGGCGTAATTTCATAAAAAAACATGCTCACCAAGAAATAAAAATTGTTAGAAATAAAAATCATTACATAAAATTATTAAAACAAGAATAATTGAAAACTCCCGTGCGGTGGATGTCACAAGCATAGTAAAAAAAACTCATCATCTAGACCACGAGTTAATTATCGACAATAATAATAATTCCACCACAAGAACTCCCATTCAATTTTTAGTTATATTAAAAACTTAAATATTACAAAATGTATAAATAAATTCGAAAGAATCACTAAATGAAGATCAAGAAAGAAAGAGAAATCAACAAAACGTAGACGTGAGAAAGATCGGCACCCTGTGAACCATCCACCAAAGTGTCACCCAACTCTCCAGAGCCCCCCGAACCACCACCGCCCTTTCCACCTCCCTTTTTTTTACCACCCCCATCTTCACTTCCATTTCCAGGGTTTTTTGTGGTGCGTTTTGGATCACAACTCAGCCAATCTTTTCCGATTAATTTCGGATAGCCCGGCATGACGCTCAAATTTGTGCTGAACATTTTCCAAAATCGTTTGCCTTTGAAGAAGTATACGTTATCTTTTTTGGAGAAAAAAGTAAGTAAGATGTTTTTAAAACAAAATTTAATAAATTAATGAAATAAAAAGTTGTAATTGATCGTTAAATGAATGAAAAAATATCGAATATGTTAAGTATAGAGTGGGCCAAAAACATGTGAAACTGACTATAATTATTTTTTTATAATTAATTATAAATAATTATTACAGAATTATGAAATTATTATTATTAAATTATTACCTTCTATGTCAGAATAAGCTGCATCTATGGGCACTTCTATACCGTCCCAGACTTTGATAGATTTCGGGTAGCCTTCATCTAGGCTGATTCTATCATTCAGCCTCCAGTATACGTTTCCTTACAGTTACGTAATATTTAAGAGCGTACGAGTTTGAATGAGTCACGGGCGTGTATGTATAAGAATTTGTGTGTGTGTGTATGTGTGTGTGTGTGTGTGTGTGTGTGTGTGTGTGTAAATAACTGACCAGCAAATAAAAAAATTTTTTCAATTGAAGGCATGCTGAGAGCTGCATCGATTTTTGGAACTTTTAGGTTGATTTCTGCCAGCGGCGTACTCGGGTAAGCTGAGTAATGGCTATTAATTTCGTAGAAGTGATCGCCTGCAACGAAGTTGAAGAGAAGAAATCAAAAATTATTTTTAAAAATAACTTTTGAACATTTTCTAGACTGAAAATTAAAGGAATAAGAATTAATTGACCTATAAATATGAACAAGTGGTCAACTTCATGCTGGTGATAAATGTTCCTTACCACGGCGTCAAAGTACGTCTCCTCAGGGTTCATTTTTTGGAACAATTGGAAAATTTTTCTTGGCTTTCCTTCAAATTCCCCTTCAAAGTTGAACCTCCAGTACCACTTTAAATTTAAAAAGGTAATTCCAATTACTGCTTTAATTAATTAATAATGAGATATACATGGAGGAATGAAGCAATGTAAGTGTTGAAAGGATTATCGAGATGAGTGATGAAATGTTTGGAATGCCTGCTAACTCACCCTTCTCTTGAAAACGTATGTCCTGTTATTAATGAGTGAGACGGCATCGACAGATGTGTCGCAGGCAGACGGCGGATCGACATCCGACGGTTCCGGAGCGTAGGCGGCAACCGTCGGTTTTTCTGTGAAAGTTTCATAATCGGTGTTAATGTATGGCGGAGGTTGGTCCTCAGGCTTCAGAGCATCTTCTCTGCGCGATGGTCCTGTCGTGTGTTGTTCATTTCGCTTTTTTAATTTTTATTGCATATCCAAGACACAGTAGAAAGTTTTAAGGGTAAAAAGGTTAGCTTTGTAAAGTTTTTTTATAGGATATTTTGTATGAGAAATTTCACCGTATAACGTTTGTATGCCATCTATATCGTCTCTTGACAGAAAAATGTTCGACATCTTTTCAATTCGCTTCTTTATAGTGATAGGGTACATAAGGTTTGAGGGGGAATGTGAGTGGTGCAGCCCTAACGAGTGCCCAATTTCGTGAATGGCGGTCCAATAAAATTCGGCCTCTAAAGAAAAATAATTTAAAACAATGAAAAATATTATTGATATGGTTTGTTCATTCATTGAAACAACATCGAGGCATAATATTCAAAGTTGGATTTCTTTGCGTTCTGTTATGGGCACCGCAACTCAGATGGCCCTTGAACCAGCGTCATGAAGTCTGTTATTCACTGGTCAAGTTACGGATTAGTACCTCTGCTTTCTTGAGGGTATGACATTGTTTCCTCACTGGTGAAATATTTGTTGTTGAGGTGGACCATTCCGGATTCCTTCTGTCCAGGGCCCCAGGCATGTCCCAGTTCAGCTTTTTTTATTGAATAAACAAATTTAATTATCAAACAAACAAATTAATTATTAATTAATAGGCAAATCATAAAAAAAGAAATTAAGAAAATAGTATCTAATGAAAAGACGAAATTATTATTTTTAATTTAAACTAAAAATTGAAAACGCGTCTCGAATTGATTTCTGGCTGATCTTCAAAAACAAACGACCAAAAACAAAATGCAAACTAAACATTTTGGTGTAATCGGTCGGCCGCAGCAATAATCTTCACCGTCTGGCGTTTTTGAAATGACGAAATCTGCATCTTCGGCGTTACTGGCTTCAAAAAAGTTCAGATCAGCCACTCTTGACCACAGGTCGAAAGCTTTTACGATGTAGTTGTGCTGCGTGGCCACTTCGTACGCTGTGGTGTCTATGTAACTATTCACGCTGACGAAACGAAACGAACTGAAACTAAACTATTTTTTTCAAGTTGTAAGTCTTTAACTGAACTCAAATGAATGACTAAACATGAACGATAAATTGAAAAATGGTCGGAGCCATTAATTAATTAATTAATTAAAACTAATTAAATAACTTTAAAAGAAAGATTGCTGGAGAATTAATTTGATTATTTTAAAGAACAATTTCTCAACTTTTGACAACGACTAACAAGAAAGTGAAATCTCGTCTATGCCACATTGGGCCCATTAGCCTGAAACTCCGCGAGCCGTTGTCGAACGAAACAACATCAGGATTGCTGCATCTGTGAGAAAACATACCATAACTTATAACAATTTATCTGAAGTTATATTAGATTAATTTGAAATTTGTACACTGGATAATTTGAAACTTGAAAGATAGCTGGGTGTGGCTCCAGTTCAGACTGCAAAGACAATCTTTACCAACTAATATAACACGTTGAATTCTTTGAGAATTTCTTAAGAAAATAAAACAGAAATTATAACATATGCAACAAAATGACCTAACTACACGGATTAAATTTTGTAGATCCGGATCATTGAAATTTCCATTTTCTGGGATTCCTCCCATTTTCTGCACCATCTTTATTGCGATAGATAGGTCATTTTCGTTTAATAACTCGGGCATTTCTTCGACAGCGCCACGTAGGTAGCCGTGTTTCAATAGGTACTCCTGTTCATTTGGAATGGATGAATGAATTAATGGTTGATTGATTGATTGAATGATTGATTGTTCGATTGATTAATTAATTAACTGGTCGATAAAAGTCAAAAGCCATTAAGAGATCAACAAATGAATAAATGAATAGATAAATGAATGAATGAATGACTGTTTGATTGATTGATTGGTAGGTTGATTGACTTCGATGAAATAATATTTATATGCAAAAATGTAAAAGTATTTTTTTATGGGTCTTCTCATATAAGTTAATCATCGTAATCGTACAACGAGCAGAGTAAAATTAGTATTCCCTTGCATCATGTTCAGTGAGATTGGTTTGCATTGCACGATTGGATATAATATGAAAAGGAGTTGTAAAATATTTTCAAACATTCCTAAAATTTAACATTATCTAATTTTATTCCATCTAATACACTGCTTACAAACATTTGTTTACGTAAATAATTGTTTAGTTTTTCACGTTACGTCAGCTCAGAAGATCAAGTCATGTCATGTTTTCTTTCAATTTTAAATAGTGGAGTGATGAAGTACCTATTCGAGAAGTAACTCGCTCCCCATACAATCAAAGTCAAAATATCTTAATAACAATTAAGTTATTAGCTAACAAGTCGAAATAATCAAATTAATTCCCAAATAGTTTAACATGAATCACAGGCAGGGTTATCACATTACACCAGTTGCCTTCTGTTCATAGTGAATGTACCACTAAGTGCACATTGGGAATTACGCATTAATGAGTTGATGTCATTCAGAAACACATGATTTAGGCAAGAATTTCATTGTAATTTCATAAAAAACATTTGTTTTTTATTTATTTCTTGAAAAATTTTATAGAAATATATAGTTTTTGTTATCCTAAAGTTCAGTACTTGCTACTAGATTTATAAGATTGATTAGCGTGTTTAAAACAAAAAAAAATAGAAAAAAAATCAATAAAATAAGTAGATTTAATCAATTTTTAATCATAAATTACGGAAATTTAAAACATTTTGTTAATATTCTCACAATTCTTTTACATCATGTTACCCTTGAAAATAACAGGATAATTTTTAGATGTAGTACGGAAACAGTGCTATAAAAAACATTTATATGCGAAAAAATATGACAAAAATGTTATTTTTCATATCTATAATAAGCAAAAAAAAAGAATTTTTAAGCAAATTTTTAGTGATTTTTATTGCAAATGACGTCAGATCACCCGATGCTATAGTCCGATTTCTATTGGCTGAGTATTCAGTGTTAGATTGTCTTATAATGTCAAAATACTCAATAAATTTCTATTTTAGCCATTTTAGTGAATAAAATATTGATTTATCAGCTCATAACTAAACGAATTTTGTAAAAAAAATTATTAATTTGATGAGAAAATATACGAAAATAAAACATTAGAATGATGAATGTCAAGGATGCTACGACTGATTTGAATGGGTGTGTGTAAGTCGTCATCGTCGTCGTCGTCATGTACGTACTACACACATGTGCTATAAAGTGATTGTTTTGTTTATCTAAATTGTTTATTTTAATTAGTAATAATTGTTAATTAATATTAAATAATTTTTATTTGATTTGTTTTTTGGGAATTTATTTATCAAAACAAGGAAAAGCTGATAAAACATTTCACTTAATTTACTTTTCTACATTACCACTACCTATAGTACTAGACGGATCTGTAGAATTTTCATCTTGTTTCCTAAATTGGGGTTTAGTTGTTGAATTTATCGGAGTTAAATCATAAAATTTTAAAACCTCAAATGCGGAAAGACCGCATTTTGTTCTGAACGTCATGCATGTTTATGAAAATTAAAAATAAATTAAAAAATGAAAAAAATAAATAAAATAAAAAAACTTAACAAAACATCCAATTTTATTTTCAGATAGAAAAAACTAACTTAACAAAACATCGTTTATTTTCAGATAAAAAAGTTGATTTTGTATTATTAACCTATTAAAAGCATCAACCTTTTGTTTCAAAGAAATCTGTAAGACAATCAATCAAAATTTTAAAAGTATAATAAATGAAAAAATAATTAAAAAGAATAATTTTACTAAAAATAATAATAAATGGGAGTTACTGGAGAAATATCAATAGCTGAGACAGTAATGAGAGAGAATGTGATTGTACAGCACGTCACTGAACAGTCAGATAACAAGTTATTATTTTTATTATTATATTATATTATAGTAGTTATTATAATTATTATTATTGTTATTACTATAGTTAAACCCATCTGTAAATTCAGCTCGATAAGAAGTAGACACATCAGTAACTCGAATCAGAATGGGGACACACCACCCATTCCCTACCCAACTCTGACAAAAATGATTGACAGGCAACCTGTGGCCGTCAACAACAAATCCCTAAACTCTTCAAACAGCCCTGAAAATACGGATTTCGTTGAGTTGGAGCCCAAAAGTGTTGTAGATGGGGAGGAAAAGAAGGAATCAAAGAAGATTATTTTTAAAAAATATATGATTTTGGCCATACTACTACTGGCAAACCTTATAAATTACATGGACAGATACACTATTGCTGGTTAGTTTGTTTTCATTTCAGCTGTAGATGGCCTCAATTGATTGTAACCAACAAGCAATCAAATCACACACACACACACACATGCGCACACACAGGCGTCTTAGAAGATGTACAAAACTACTATGCCATAAATAACGCACAAGTTGGCTTACTGCAGACGTCATTCATAATTAGTTACATGCTGTTCTCGCCACTCTTTGGTTACCTTGGAGATCGGTATAACAGGAAATGGGCCATGATTGGTGGAATACTTTTCTGGTCTGTGGTCACATTTTTAGGGTCTTTTGTGCCTCCTGGAGTATGTTGTTGTTGTTTTTATTTTTTATATCATTGTTACATCACTATTTCATCATCATTTCATCATTACGACATCATGATGACGTCATAATGGCACCATCACCACACCAATGAACAAACAGCAATTTGGTCTCTTTGTGTTCTTACGAACGATGGTCGGTGTTGGTGAGGCCAGTTATTCCACAATAGCCCCCACGATAATTGCAGATATGTTCAGTAACAGGAAGAGAACTATGGCTCTGTCAATTTTCTATTTTGCCATTCCTGTTGGCAGGTATGTGTGTGTGTGTGTGTGTTTGTGTGCGTGAACATGTTTGTGTGTGTGCGTGAACATGTGTGTGTGTGTGTGCGTGTTTGATAGGTTGGATTATAATTGTCTTACAATTGTATGATAACATTTGTGTTAGTTCTGAGATGAATTGATTCTAATCTCTTTACATCTCTTATATATTCTGTTGCAAAATAAGCTACCATGTGCTATCTAATTATAATAATTATAATAATTCATGCTTATAATTATAATATCCCATGCTCATAACTATAATATTTAATGTTAATTAGCTGGCCCATTATAATTATAATTTATTCATATTTTTAGTGGCCTGGGCTACATTATAGGCTCAACTGTAGCCAATGCAGCAGGTGCCTGGTACTGGGCTTTGAGGGTGGGTCCTTCAAAAGTTATAAATAATGATGATAATTATGATAATTATGATAATTATGACCGTAGGTGACCCCTATATTAGGGCTAGTGTGTACATTCTTAATGATATTCCTCGTTAAAGAGCCGAAACGTGGTGAGTCAGATGGGGGGACACATCTAATCACAACCTCCTATTATGATGACCTGCTCTACTTACTCAAGCAGTCAGTGATGATGATGATGATGTTGTTGATGGTGATGATGATGATGGGGATGATGATGATGGTTGTGATGATGTTGTTGATGGATGATAGTTGTGGTGATGATGATGACGACGACGGTGATGATAATGACCCTCTCCACCACCTCCTGACAGCAAAAGTTTCATGCTGTCGTCGTTCGGTTTCACGTGCGTGGCATTCGTCGCGGGGGCACTCTCCCTCTGGGCCCCCCTCTACGTCTACCGGTCTGCGAAACTCGAGAACCCTACAGCCAGCATGTCTTCGTAAGTTACCGGGTGGGGGGTGTAATTAAAACTAGGGAGGATTTATTTGAAATGAGAAAAACTTCCATTGCAAAAAATAGTAATCTGGAAGATGTTGTTGAATTCGTTGGACAATTATGATCGTAGGGTGTAGTTAGAGGGAAAAATAGTTAAGATAGGGACTCTACAGGGTTGATAATAGCCATGACTTAGACTTAGAGGCACATGAAGCCAGCAGTTGTTCTGTTAAGAGCGAGACTGCAGCCATAGAAATAGTTTACTTATTGATAGCCAACGACATCCTCACACGTCACCATCATCAAATCAATACAGCATGAGCTTCATCTTTGGTGTTATCACGTGTGTAGCCGGATTGGCGGGGGTTCTTGGAGGGTACTACGCGGCCTCAAAACTTCGGCCCTACTCCTCGGGGGCGGATGCCCTGGTTTGCGCCGTGGGCCTTATCGCGGGTGCGCCATTCTTATACTTGGCACTTGTTTTCTCTAGAGGAAAAATCGCCGTTGTCTGGGTCAGTTTGTTTATTCATGTATGTATGTGTGGTTACTATTAATTCTCTATTAATCCGATTATCATTCGGTTTTATTATTGTTATTGTTGTTATTATTGTTGTTGTGTTCGTTTGCATTTCAGCTCTTGATCTTCTTAGCTGAGACACTCATATCACTGAACTGGGCTCTCGTGACTGACATACTGCTGGTTAGTAAGTTCTCTCATTATTATTTTTATTATTTTTGTTATCGGTGTTGTTATAATTATTATTATTATTACTATTTTTAACTATGACGTCACAATGTAACGACCAATAGCAGCTGTAGCAGTAGCAACATTAGCATCGCGGCCACAAACGCGACAACATCACACACGCAGAACAACAGCGCAATCAATATCCATAATAACAACAACAACAATAATAATAATAACAACAACAACAATAATAATAATAATAATAATGATGATGATGACGTCATGTAACAGTACACTGTGATTCCAACGAGAAGGTCAGCTGCCGAAGCCTTCCAGATACTCCTGTCGCATGCGCTTGGTGATGCTGGCAGTCCATACATTGTTGGACTGGTAATGTTATTATTGTTGTTGTTGTTGTTGTTGTTGTTGTTGTTGTCTATATTTCTCACGGTTTTATTGAATGTGTTGTAATCGTATTTTTTATTTATTCATTTATTTTTATATGTATTTTTGTCATAATGTAGTGATGCTACTGACATTTCGTAGCATGGTGGTCGTACAATTCACCACATTAATCGTCATCTTTATCACCATCATCATCTTCCTCATCATCATCACCTCCCTCACCATCATCATCATAATCTTTCTCATCATCATTATATTTTTCATCATCATCACTTTCATCATCATCATCATCACTTTCCTCATCATCATCATCTTCCTCCTCATCATCATCATCTTCTCATCACCATCATCACCATCATCTTCCTGCATAGATATCAGACAGCATAGAATCAGGATACGAGCACCCGGACCCCATAGTCCAGTACTTCAGCCTGCAGTATGCCATGTATATGACCTGCTTCGTCTGCGTCATCGGGGGCGCCTTCTTTCTCGCCACTGCTCTCTACGTCAAATCCGACAAGGAGAAAGCCGACAGGATGATTAGGAGTTAGTCATGTTGATGTTGATGATGATGATGTCTAGTCGTCATGATGATGATGCTGTTGTTCAGTTGTCATAATGATGATGATGATGATGATGATGATGATGATGTATGTCTAGTTGTCATGATGATGATGATGATGATGATGAGGAGGAGGAGGAGGAGGAGGAGTACACGTGTATATGGCTTCTTCAAACTTTTATTTAGTTATCATTTAGCTATCCACCAATCACGTTTTTTCAATTGATATATCAGCTATTCATTTTTTTACCAACCAATCAGCTTCAACCCACGACAAGAACTACAACAACAGCTCCAATAACTGCTTAGAACTGACACTACACGAACAAAAGCTGACCAATGAAAATGGGCTTACTGTTGAAGCCTCGACCAATCAGGAAACAGAATCCATTCGAATGTTGGGCCTTCCAACTCCTGGCCAAATTGTACCCAACGAGAGTCAAAATCAGCTGATTGATGAAACGAGGAGTGACGATAGCGATTATAAGACTCAATTATGAATATTAATTAGCCCCAATTAATATTAATTAATTAGTATTCGTGATGAATGTTACTGAGTATTATTAATATCGATGTTAATTATGCCGTTGAATGATAGCGATTATAAGACTCAATTATGAATATTAATTAGCCCCAATTAATATTAATTAATTAGTATTCATGATGAATGTTACTGAGTATTATTAATATCGATGTTAATTATGCCGTTGAATGATAATACAAATATGAATATGTTATATAGTTTGAATTTGAATAATTTATGTTAATAAGAAGCCTGTAAATATGCAAATAATTAAATTTGTCCTAATTTTGAAATCGTTTCTGAGGTGTTTGGTTGGTCATGTTTTGTTGATTGTTTGTAAGCAAGTTCTTATTTTTTCGTTTATTCAATCAATCAATCAATCAGCAGCACATTCATTCATTTTTTCGATCAGTCGTTTATTCATTCATTCATTTGTTCTTTCTTTCTTTCATTCAATCATTCATTCATTCACTTGTTTAAAAGTATTATTATTGCTTGTTTGTATGAGGAATGTTTATACACGTATACGTATATTTTAACAATAACGTATATACGTATATAACGTATACGTATATATATAAATATATATATGCGTAGATATATAAATATATATATTTATTTATATTTATATTTATTTATTTTTATTAACGAATATTAATTAAATGTACATCATCGCCATGACCTAGACGGAGAAATTGACAATAAAATGCCATTTATTTTTCGGAAAGTTCTGGTTTTCTGTTAGAATATATCATAGTTAATTGGTTATTAATATTATAACTGACTGATTAATTACCTGAATAATTAATTAATTAGTATGTTTTGGTGTGCGTGCGTGTGTATGTGTGTGTGTGTACGTGTTCTACTCTTTATTATGTTTCAATTTGATTTGCATCTTAAAATCAACGTTTAGGCCAATGTACACACATATACATATATATCTTTACATTCTGGTTCACATATACAGATATATTTAGATATATTTATATATCTGATATATGCCCTCGATATATTTATGTATATTAGATCCATATATATATAAATATATATGATCTGGATATTTTTCCGTATGAGATACAAGGTTTTGTTATTTTCATTTTCATATGATTTGTTGTACATGTTCTTCGTGTTTTATTTCTTCCGTATTAGAATTCATTTTGTAGATCTAAGTTATTGTGTATTCGTTCGTTCATTCATTCATTCATTCAACCATTCATTCATTCATTCATTCATTTGTTAGTTCGTTCGTTCATTCATTTATCCATTCATTCATCCATTCATTCATTCATTGGAATATCTTCTATATCAATGGTTGTAAATATAGTTAGTTCCCAGTCGTAATAAATAAATTAAATATTTATTATGCAAATGTGGTTATTTCTTTGTTTTCTATTTGGTTATTATGAATATTTTTTATTCTTACCCTTTTATTATTTTATAATTATTTCATAATTACTGTCGGTTTCAAAGTTTTTAGATTCCAAATTTTTTATTTTATTCATTTTCTTCTTCTCCTACCAGTTCTAACATCTTTTGTATACGTTTTTGTGTGTGTATGTGTGTGTACGTGTGTGTGCGTGTGAGTGTGTATGTATGTACGTGTGTGTTGGTGTGTGCGTGTGTATGTATGTATCTATGTGTGTGTGTGTGTGTGTGTGTGTGTGTGTGTGTGTGTGTGTGTGTGTGTGTGTGTGTGTGTGTTTATGTATTCATCAATGTATGCGTGTTGTATATTTTCTGCCTTTTTTCTAATTTTTGTTTAATATTTGTATTTAATATTATCATTTTAGCAGCTTAACCGTGTTGTAGCAATTAATATTTGATTGCTTAATTCGATGTTAATTGTTGGTGATTTAGGTGTTAAATTTATCAAAATCCTATTACGAATATTGTTACATGTTGTGTGTGTGTGCGTGTGTGTGTGTGTGTGTGTGTGTGTGAGTGTACGTGTGAATGTTCTTGCCCGTCTATGATGTACGTATTTGCTAGATGTCTATGCGAGTATTAATACAGAACTGCGTGTATGCATTTGCCCAGTTTGTCAATTATCCTTTTGTTTCAATGACTTTGTGTATTTTCAACTTTAATTTATTAAATATAGTTATAATAAAGATTTGTTTATAATATTTGATCGGTTGGTTGGTTGGTTGATTGATTGGTTGATTGATTGACTGACTGACTGACTGACTGATTTATTGATTGATTGATTTATTGATTTATTGATTACTTTAAAAATAACCTCGCCATCTTTCAACATTGCTGACAATTTTACGTTCAACTCTTTTTACATTTTGGTTGCAGCAGCAGCAGTCAGGATTACATAGTTACAATTTTTTACAAATACGTAGAACTTTACAATCCATTACTTTGTAATTCATTACTTTACAATCCATTACGTCGTTAATAGTAGTTAAAGGATATATCCATGGATTGGTATGCTATCTTTTCAGTCTGTTATTTTCCATTCGTTCGAATGTCTTTGTCATCGTCATTATTATCATTGTCGTTGTCTGCTTCATTTAGCCTGTCTGTGCGGGCTCTTTAAGAAATTTATAAATGTGAAAATAAAAATTATATATTCATCGAAGGATTGTTAAAAAAGATTTGTGCTTGTTGGGTTTTCCAGAAATCTTTTGCCTCTTGCACGCCAATGATTCGATGAATCATTTCTTGCGATTTCCAGCACAGAAAGTTACTAAGTTATCAGTATTATAACTGTTTTTCTCTCGTAGTGTTATCATTTTTTCTCATAAGTGTTTTATTTCCTCGATATACCCAATATAGAAATATGCATTGTACAAGTGACGAATGACAATTCTATATAGATAACAACCTACCTATTAATCAGTGCGACTATTTATGTAATTGTATGTGTGTCTTGTGTATGTGTGTTACTTAAATAAATTAAGATTATTGTTAGTACTACCTTTAATATTAGTACTGTACCAATCCTAATGATGGTATTACTGCTAATATTTTTGTCGCTAGTGTCGCTACCACAACTACTGCGATTAATACCACTACTACTACTATTTTTAGCGAGTCTCGCGCGCCAGCATCACTACCCGCTACTATGATGATCATATTTTTTTGGAACTCCTTGGGGAAAAAGCTGCAAATAATATTACCACCACTGCCATTTTACACTTTGTATACTATTACTATTAAGACGACGACGACTGCTTCTACTACTACTTCTCGCTACTACTGCTACTACCACTACTACTGCTACTACTACTACTACAACTTCATGCCATTCATGAAATGGATCTGATAGAGCGACAACTATTCAAGTCGACAACAACAACAACGTACAGATGACGTGTTTGTTTCTTGTTTGTTTGTATCTTTGTATGCATGTATATATGTTTGTATGTATGTTTGTTTGTTTGTATGTATGTATGTATGTTTGTTTGTCTTTATGTATGTATACATAGTTGTTTGTATGTATGTATGTGTGTGTGCGTGTGTGTGTTCGTGTGCACGTGTGAATGTGTGTGCGTGCTGGCGCGTGTTAGCGGATTATCGATAGAAGACAGATAATAAATACCTAGGTATAAAAAGGAACGCACATAAAAGTGTCTCTGTATTTGTGTATGTACCTTTGTATGTATGTATGTATGTATGTATGTATGTATATATGTATGTATGTATGTATGTATGTATGTATGTATGTATGTATGTATGTATGTATGTGATTGTATTTATGTGTGTGTGTGTTTTATGTTCGTGTATTGCAATGTCCAATACGAAGTAATACCAGATTATACCTCTAAAAAATACCATTACGTTATTCTCTGGAAAGATTTTCTTTTCAAAATGCCGGTAAATTATATTTTATTTCTTTTATCTTCTCTCTCTCTCTCTCTCTCTTTCTCTCTCTTTCTCTCTATTTCTCTCTCTTTCTTTCTATATATATATATATATGTGTGTGCGTGTATGTGTGCGTGTTATCTTCCTATAGATGTATTTAATTATTTATTGCATACGCTGAAAGTAATGAATTCGGAACGACTTTTCCATGTGTATCTATGCTGGTATATGTGTTTGTATGTGTGTTCTCTCTCTCTCTCTCTCTCTCTCTCTCTCTTTCTTTCTCTCTTTCTGTGTGCGTGTGTTTGTTTGTCCGATATTATTATGTGAGAAATGTGATTTGCCAAAAAAATCCATGACGAACTTACATAAATAAACCATGTATGAATGCGAAATGATAACTTGGGAGATGATGATGACGAGGAAGAAGATGAAGATGTTGTTGTTATTTATGCTATTATCATTATTATTATGATTTTTGTTGTTGCCACGCTAAAAATTATATATATGTTAGTGGGTGTTTAATAACTTACGGTTTCCTATCAGTTGGTGTTTGTATGTGTGTGTGTGTTGTGTGTGTATTTATATGTGTATTTAATTTATATATCATCCTTCAGCTTCTTCTTCTTCTCTCTCTCTCTCTCTCTCTCTCT